ACTGGTAAGAAATCAGTTAAGTAGCATACAGAATTGTAAAGCAATCATATCATTGAAAGATCTTTTCCAGTTATTATTATAGGTTATACATTCTATGAACAATGTACTGCAGTAATTGACATCCATATTATTTTCATTTAGTTTTGTTGAGTGTTGATGTTTTCTTCCGATATAATTATTTCTTTTTTCTTCCCATTTCATTTAAATTTTATTCATAGATACAAAGAATGGTTAAACATTGATTAAAATAAACTTGTGATAATATTTTTAACATAGAAGACTTTAAAAAAGGTACATTAATTTCCTTCCTAGCTATTACTTGGACTGTCATATCACATGAACAATTATATTTTTACTGGGCATGAAAACAGCATTGAGGCTTATAGATTGGATGTTCAGAGTATCAGATCTGAAATGTCTACTTTGAATAGACATACTTGAAATTTATTCAGTATTACATACTGATGTGCTCTTCACAAATATTGGAACATAATATTGATTTGAATTTTATCTTAGAATCTCCGTCCTTATTTGATTTTACTTATTATATCTGGAAAATGTTAGAAGAATTATTAAAAATGGTCAAAGAAAAGCTGACTGGTAGGTCAGGATTGGTGTCCTCAGGGACATGTGAGTGAAGGAAAGGGCAAGAAGTTGGCATTTGATCAAAATTAGATATGGACCACCAATAATTAACTATTTACTGAGATGACCTTACAGAATATTTATTCATTGCTCCGTTTACATTCTGTTTGTGAAGGACTATTATGTTGGTTCTATAGTGCTGCTATAATAGATATACCACAAATGTATGGCTGAAACAGGAATTTATTCTCCCAACATTTAGGAGTCTAGAAGTCTGAGTTCAAAGTGCCAGCTCTAGGGGCTGGGTAAAAGCCCCTCAACCTTGGGCTTCAGTTCTGCTGAGGCTGACAAACCCAAGTTCAACAAGTAAAATGGCACAGTCCGAAAATTATCAAGCAACACAGCAGGTCACTAGTCAAGTCCAGAAACAGTCTTAAGATCAGCAGACAACATGGCAGGCCACTGAGATGAAGACTCAGCCAAATGCAGGATCCAGATGAGCCAAAAAGCTCAAGACCTTCTTCAAAGTGTTTTCTTAAATACTGGAAGCAGGCCACATTCCCTAAGGCAGCTGTTCACAGTAGATTCTACCATGGAGTTGAGTACCAGTCTTATCTTGGGGAATTACTACATCCAGCTGCCCAGCCACTCAAAAGCAGGTTCAGCCAAGTTGACACACAACCTTAACTACCACAATTATCAAATTAAAATTATTTCTCCCATGAGATTGCAGACTTTTTTAAGGCTTTATCTAAGGCCACTGTTTATTGTGGTTAATAAATATGAGTGCATATATAGCCAACTTTATTGTAAGTACCTGAAAAAAAAATTCAAAGTGATAGTGTTAAAGAACTAATAGTTTGTATGTCAAAAAAATATGTCCTAGTACCTTAATTAATATTTGAAATATCCCAAATCAAATAAAATACCACCATAATAAAACCAGTGTGAAAAACAGCTCAGGTTTTCAGTAGAACTCTGTCTACAATTCTAGACAATCTCATCTACGATTGAACAAATTAGAATTGGCTTGAATAATAATGGCAGATAAGATAGTTCCTCCCTTGCTCCATTTTTTCATTCATTTATTTAATAATTGATCCAAGAAGCTTTCCTTGAATGCCAAAATGAAATAAAGAACAATACAAGATGATTGTCCAAATATTCGCAATCACAGGGTAGGAGTTGAGGATGGAGGATAATTATGATAAAATATACCAGAGCCATCAATGCAGTGTTAGGGAAAACAGAGTAGCTCCTAGCTCTACCGGAGGGGAGGAGTAAGATATTCTCAATCAAGACATAACATTTTATTCTGTCTCCAAAAATTATGAGGTTTCCAGGAGAGCTAGTGGGAGGGCATTTAAAGCACAGGGAACAATATATGCTACAGTACAGATGTGTTTTAAAAAACAAACAAAACAAAAACCTGAAAACAGACTTTGCCTTTGGATTGCTTAGGAACACAGTCATTTCAGTAACCATGAGAATAAATGACAACATAGAAAAACAGATCCCAGGTTGTGTAATTATGTCATGTTTATTGAACATTATCATACTGGGTGCTAAACTGAATCTTGTTAGGTACTTCTTATACCCAGTGAGTATGGTCTAATTAAGAAGACAACCAAGGCAGGGATGAAAACAGCATTAAATCAATCAGCAGCTGTCATGAAAGGGCCTACGGCTGTCCATATAGAGATTTATAGATTAACTGCAGCATTTTGAATTGCACTGGGGAGAAAATTGGAAGCAGGTGCAAACTTCAGAGTGTGTATTTATTTTGCTTCAGGCAGCTGAATCCAAACATAGGTGGATTCATTGGGACTAATAGGACCATTTTTGTCCCGCTAAATTTTATGATGGGCCTCAAGGGTTGCCAATTAGGAGACCCATGTGGATCCAGCTATTTTTCTAAACTATCAATAATAAGCATGAATTTATAAAAACTGCAAAAAGCCCTTACACTAGATAGTAAGTATGGAATTTTGTGCAACTTGGGGTAATTCAGCTAGGAATTTGGCAAATAAGATTACCATTTGTGTAATGCTAAAACCTTACTGACTGGCATCTCTCTTTCCTCTGAAAGGTTGTTGGAAATAGTCTAAGAATTTTATTACAAGACTATAATTAAAACTATCATAATTTTATGCTTCAAAAGAACTGGACACAAAATAATGTAATAGTGAAAAGTTCATCTTTATTTTTAAAAAATAAAATAACGTTCTAATTTAGTAGTTAGCTGAATGACTTCAGTCTAATCTCAATTGTGTATGCCACAGGCAATTTTTTCAAAGTTGCAGATACATTACCGTTATAATGTCCAGAATACAAAGGGATCTAAAATTAAAAGCAAATATATCTTTTCCCTTTGATTTACATTGTAGTAAGTTAATGGCTTTATCAGTGTAAATGTTTTAAAATATATTTAATTTTAGGCCTAAGTGATATTTATATAAGAGAATTATAATAAGTAGTTTCACTTAGGGGTTTTAGGTGACTGAACTAATTTATATGCATCTCCTAACTTGTATTTCATTTCCTACTCTTGATTTTGATGTTAGATCTGTTTTCCTTTCCATATTCACTGCATTTACTCCTTACATTTACACTTTTTCTGAACACTGAGGTAGAATTCTGAGGCTCCAATAGAATTTCTGAGGAAATTGGGCAGGCTACTCAAGTGCTCTGAGCTTTCAAATCATCTTTCCAATCATGATAATGATACTGGTTTGCCTCTCTCAGAGAGGGTTAAGTGATTCAGTGCTTTCAAAAATAGCAAGTGATAAGCAGTTTGGGGAGGGATCATATTGATTGATTGTATATTAAGTTTATATTAAAGTTTTTATTTATACAATAAAGTTTATAATTGTTCCACATCCTACTTTGGCAAGTAGGATGGGATCTTAAAAGCTTTCAAGAAGCCATCTACATGCAACAATGAGTCTCTCTTCATCCAGAGCAAGTAAGAATGAAGATAACCAAACACGCATGGAGACAATTAGTCCAAGGGACTGGTACACCATGTGATCTGCAGCCTATATGACTATGAAACCAAAAGATCTAGGTGGTGCTCGACTACCACTGTCAACCACTTGGAGGGGCACCTGTGTAGGAGATCCAGGGTAAAGGGGGAGAACAATGTAGAACAAAACTCAAAATCATAAAAAAGAGGGACCAGGTTTGCTAGTCTGATAGAGCCTGGTGGAACCCCTGAGACTGTGGCCCCTAGCTGCCCTTCAGGTCTGGAATTGAACCCACTCCTTTGGCTTCTAGCCCAACAGAAGACAGGCATATGAGCTGAACATTTACGTTAGGTACATACATTCCTTGGAGAGATCAACCATAGGAGAATAGAAGGGCTCTGTATGCACAGGGAGATGTCTTGAGAGGCAGAAGTGCATGGGAGGGAAGGCCACAGGGAAGAAGAGGTGGCTATGGGGAAGAAGTGGGAGGAGAGCTGTTGCATTGTGGAAAATTGTAGTCAGTGTCATAAGAAAGTATATGTGAACTGCTGTGTGGAAGATGAATTGCTCTGTAAACTTTTACCCAGATCACGATAAATTTAAAAAAAAAAAAATGAGTTTATAAATACTTAGTAGGAGCTCTGGTAGCGTAGTGCCTAAGGTGCTTGACTGCTAACCAGAAGGCTGGCAGTTCAAACGCACCAGCTACTCCTTGGAAGGAAGGTTGGGCAATCTACTTCTGTAGTGATACTGCCTTGGAAACTCAGGGAGGGGTCGCTATGAGTCCGTGGGACTCCACCGGACTCCACAGCACATAACAATAACAACAACAAATACTTAGTAGAAGTGTAGTACTTTCTTTGCAAAGGGAGGCAACTTACTAAGGAGATCAAATATTCCCTTCAACAGTTTGCATACATATCTTTATGCCTGCAAGTGTGGGTGTTAACTTCTAGCACTTAAATCCCAAGACTTCAACTCTGTTATCCTGCAGGTCAGGGCTCAAGGAGCCATGCAATTTCACATCCTTCCCTGTCACCCTTAGCATGATGCAGGAGGATCAGATGCCAGATTTATATCCCAAGAATAGCTCCCAAATACTACCCACAGAGACCATATACAGCTGATTCTGGAATCTACATCTGAGAGTTATCACAGTAGCAAGTTTTCTCACCAACTGTCTCTACTCTACAGACTCTCATCCTTGCCCCATCTGCCCTTCTAGTCCTCATACTATTGTTGGGCCTTTTGTCAAAATCCTTTTGCATTAAGGTTTATGGATATGTAAACTATGTATATACTTCAAAATCCAGAGTTTTTTAATTTATAATTTGTTTATATCTGTGTTTGAAAGAAAGACCACACAATAACCAAGATATAGGTGCAGTTGAAAATATGGTGTCTTTGAAAATCTGTCTTTGAGTAACAAAATTATATTCCTAATTTCAGAACATGATGAGTGCATCACAAATCAGCACAACTGTGATGAAAATGCTTTATGCTTCAACACTGTTGGAGGACACAACTGTGTCTGCAAGCCGGGCTATACTGGGAATGGAACCACATGCAAAGGTAAACGGCATCAATTCCAATACCTCTTCCATTAAGGATAATGCAATCTATCCCTACCTCCCTTTACTCTTTGTATAACTATTATCTACCTCACAGGCATGTAGTTGAGCAGTTCAGAACTTTAACGTGTGGCTTCCCTAAGGTCTTGCCATCCTTCTGGGTTACTTCAGTGTTTAAGTGACCAAATTGTTCAACTCCTTCAATTTAATGTTCCTTAACACAATGTTTTTCATCTCTAGTCCTCTCTAGAAAACCACACCCATGACTACATCATGGGCATTTTTGTTATCCAATATGACTCCATCTTGGAAATCTTAAAATCCATAGTTTATTGTTCTGACCGTAAGTTTCTCTATTTCCGATTTGCTCACTCTATTCCTTCCATGATTCTAGAGCTTCTATTTCTTGGACCTTTCCTTTTTCATCCAGTTTACTAGTTTTTCTGTTTTGAGCCCAAACATGTTTATATCATTGCAGCTATTATTCTAGGCAGCATTATCAACCCATTAAGGAGCTCTAGGGAGCTCTGGTGGCATAGTGCCTAAGGCATTTGACTGCTAACCACAAGCCTGGCGGTTCAAATCCACCAGCCACTCCTTGGAAGGAAGATTGGGCAATGTACTTCTGTAGTGATACTGCCTCAGAAACCCAAGGAGGGGTCACTATGAGTTGGATCCAACTTGGTGGCAGTGAGTGAGTAAGGAGCCCTAGTTGTGCAGTGGTTAAAGCACTTGACTGCTAACTGAAAGGTCAGTGGTTTGGACTCAAGAGCTCCCCAAGAGAAAGATGTGGCAGTCTGCTCCCATAAAGATTACAGCCTTGGAAACTGTATACAACAATTCTGCTGTGTCCTACAGAGCTTCTCTGTTGGAATCAATTTGATAGCAGTGCGTTTGGTTTTCTTTCTTTCTTTATTTTTTTTAATGCTCTAACAGTAGGCTGCAACTTTCCAAATTACTCCAAGAAAGATATACTCAGCAAACACTGTCAGGTAGATAGACCCTTTATTACTGGTGTTTAAATTCAAAATCCCTGTGCAAATCCTTGATGAGCTGGGTATGCTTTTTGCTTAGGATAAAGAAACTTCATCACCGATTAGAGGAAACGCATAACAGAAAACAAGAGAAGAGCTTTTGCTCCAGTACCTAGAATCCAGCTGGTCTAGTTTCATCTGTGACAGGCCTTGTCAGGCTCAGGGAGTAGCCCTTGGGCCTTACAGAGCCAAAGACTAAACAAACTGAAGCAGAAATTCTTAGGGGAGGTCAGTCTTACCCTCTCATTTTTCTCATCTTTGTTGAAGGCAGTACATCCCACGAGATCACCTTTGTTAGGGCTCAGCTATTGACCCCTTTTCTATTCACAGAAAGGCATTTCCCCTCACTCCTAAACCCCACTCTACAACAACTGTCTATGTAATATCTTTTGCAATGCTTATGATCCTGAGGCCTGACATAGTAGTGGAATCCAGGGCTCTTCCTGAAGACTATTACAGCAATTTCTTCTTCACTATTGGATCAGGATTAGTTTAGAAACTTTTGAAGCATGGGATGTGTCCTTAATATTTTGGTACTTTGTCCAGTGAATGGAATAGGCACAGCCTCATGGAATTCAGCCACTTCCTATTTCCTAGTTTAATTATCTTGATGGTAATTTGCTCCTGAAGAAAAGTTTTAGGATAACTTCTGTTTTTTAAGTTTTATTTTCAAGTGGATTGTTACCACAAGGTGAATCTGCATTCTAATGCCTGTCCTGTTGTATAAAGTTACTGTTCATTGATTCAAAAAAAAAAGAAAAAACTTCAGTATTTTATTTTAGAGGTGAAATATTTCTTTAACATTGAAAAGAGCATTGCTAACTATGGGAAGGAGGTGGAAGGGGAGCTGTTGCATTGTGGGAAATTGCAGTCCATGTCATGAGACAGAGTGTATGTGAGCTGCTGTATGGAAAGTGAATTTGCTCTGTAAAATTCCACCCAAATCGGAATAAAATTTTTTTTTAAAAAAAAGAGCATTGCCTTACAAATTATGTTTCTTATATGGATGAAAGGTATTATATAAATATAAAATTCTAACAGCTTTCCTAATTTGTTGTTTACATTTCTGAGAAAAAAAAATTAACTGGTTTTGCAGTATTTTGAATTACTTACTTCTAAGGTGCTAAAATCATGTATCTGAATTATTTTAGCATTTTGCAAAGATGGCTGTAGGAATGGAGGAGCCTGTATTGCAGCTAATGTGTGTGCTTGTCCACAAGGCTTCACTGGGCCCAGCTGTGAAACGGGTAAGAATATTATTTCATCTTCTAGAAAATGAATTTTTTATGCCAATGTATAAAGTAATCCATGAGGAAAATAATGTTTCACGTTTCATGTGGGCTTTGAAAACTTTGAGATATTAGTAAGAAAATGCTGTGAGGGAGAAGGTGGGAAGTTTCAGTGATGTATAGTCACTGGGCCATCCCTCAAAACCACCCTAAGGAGGTTTTGCAGCTATTATAACTAGAAACATGTTGAACTTTTTCAGAAAGATGTGTGGAATTGCCTAAGATTTTATGACTTCATAATTCATTTTACTTATCTGGAGCCCCTTTTTCCTGGAATTTATCCTACCAGCAAGAAAGATGTGGCAGTCTACTTTTGTAAAGATTGTTGTTGTTAGGTACTATTGAGTTGGTTGAGGCAGTTCTACTCTGTCATATAGGGTCGCTATGATTTGGGATCGACTTGACAGCAGTGGGTAATATAACTGTATTAAAGTACAGTGTTCATGCTTATGGCCAGCAGAATTCCTGGCACACACCACCTTCTGCATCCATGTTTGAGAATTTTAAATAATTTTTTGTCTGGCTCACTTAGTCTTCATTCATTGTTGTATATTTAGAAAGTGTTTAAAATCTTCTGCTCTTTCTTCCTCATCCAAGTCTGCTTGGAGCTCACTCTCTCTGATGGACACTAATTCTAGAAACTTTTAAAATATTTAAAATATGTATGTAATGTAGTCTTGCATATAGCTTATGATGCAAAGTAAAATATTTAATTAAAAATACACTTTGGGAATAAAAAACTTTGTATTAGTTCCTAATTAAATCATGTCAATAATAGTATTGGTTGCTGTTGATTAAGTGAGTTTCAATATTAAATGACCTCAAAGAATCTGATTATTCTAAGAGGCTACGTACCACCAGTGATTGACAGTTGTCATGCCTTTTGCTTTCCATAAATTTCAATGCCATTGATGTAGTGCATGCTCTGCCTTCATTCCATTTACTGAGCCATCTGCTTTAATAAAATACTGGCTGATTAGAATTTGAGACAGAAAATGTTCTGGACCATTTGAGAACTGAAAATTTTACTGATTAAATACTGCCACTGTGCACAGAAGGGATGCTCACAAAAGACCTTGCATCACTGGGTCATTTATTTCTACAAGTGATGTTTTTCAAACTTCATTGACTAATTGGTTTCAGAGTGCTCTAATGGAAAATACATAATGACTATGTTTTATATGTGGATCACTTCCTAAATCTGGAATTCCCCAAACTCACTATTCATGTGAATCACTATAGAGCTTGTTAACTTGTTAAAACCAAAAAAACCAAAGCCACTGCCATTGAGTCAACTCTGACTCATAGTGACCCTATAGGACAGAATAGAACTGCCTCTTAGGTCCAAGTTTGTAAATCTTTATGGAAGCAGACTACCACATCTTCTTCCCATGGAGGCACTTGAGGTTGCAAACTACCAACCTTTCAGTTAGCAGCCCAGCACTTTAACCACTGTGCCAGCAGGGCTCCAGTCTGTTCACTTGTTATATGTGAAAAATACAGATGTCTGGTAATTAACTCTCATAGGGTTGACTAGATCAAAATCTGGTCCTTCTAATGCAGTGACTCTCCAATATTTGTATTCTGTGATCTTCCCCAGTAGTACATCCATACACATCAAGGTGTGCTGTGGACCTCTTGTACATCAGCTGCTGTGGTGACCATGTTTCCTGAATACAGTATTTTACTGCTTCTCATGCAGAGCCTGGATACTGAAATATTGGCTTTTTCAGGGCATTTTATTGGGGTGAGAATAATGGTGCAGAATTTTGAAATAAAGTTTATCTCAGAAAATGTGAGAGGAATTGCAGCCATCCTCAAATCTGCGTATCATTCTTCCACTAGAAAAAAATACATGATAAGGTTATGAAAATCTAGAATGGTATAAAATTAATCCTAGCGATATGGGAGTTAAAAATAACCCAAGAGAATACTTAGCTTTCTCTATTTAACTGTGCTTGAACTTTCAATCTATACGACAATTGTATATTGAATCTAAGTAGCTGTCTGTAGCAGCCAAACACTGTGAGTAAGACTGATGTGCATTCAGAATCTGGGTCTACCACTTGCTTTTTATGTGGTCATGGACAAGTTATATAACTTTTTAGTGTCTTGTTCCCTTGTATGCATCAGACAATCTTCTGCCACATCTGCTGCTTGGCATTGCTGGTACTATTTATTCTGAACAGTCAAATCATTTTCTACATTTATGTATCTACTCAGAGTGAGGAATGCTGAGTTACTTCCTGTGAAGCACTGCCTTCCTTCTAGCTCCAGGAATCCTTTACCTGGGAACCCTGGAAAGTGCTACTGTTCCACAGTGGACTTCAAGGGTTCATGAATCTCCTAAATACCTGTGCATATGTATATTTTTCTGCAGAGAGAATTCAGAGCTAATAAAGATTTCATATGGCTTTTATAACTTCAAAAGAGTTAAGAACCAGAAAGAGAATCTTAGTGATTCATAATGAGAATAGTTATTTTATTCTGAGGAGGGTAATCCAAATTTAGATATCCAACATCTTCTGCATGCTTCCTTGGACACCTTAAATCCAAAATCCCCAAACTAAACTTCTCATCTACTCTACCACTCATGCCTCCTCTCCTCCTCTCCTCCCAATCTCTTCCCACCAAAACCTGCTTTATTTATTTTCTTTATTTCAGCAGATGGCAGTTTCATCGGCCAAGTTTCCTAGGACAGTAGTCAGAGTGTCAGTCCCATTCTTATTCTATTCCATATACAATCACTTGTCAAGTCCTTTAATTCCATCTCTTTACTATTGGTCCATTTCTTTACTTTCTGGCTGGTACAGTAGTAGTTCAGGCCCTTAAATTTGTCTCTCTCTAGTCCAGTCTGCATGTAGTCTCAGAAAAAATCTGATCCTATCACCCCATAAGGAAAAAAACTTCAGTGTTCCCTATTGCACTCAAGATGAAAATCACATTTCTTAATGTGGCATATAAAGCCCATTAAGACTTCCTCCCTGCTTATCTACCCAGCTTCGTCTTCTTGCCACTGCCTCCTACCTCATTCCCACTCCCAAGCAGTGAACTTTTCTGTGGTATAGGCATCTTGTTCACTTTTGTATCCTCATGTTCTGAGACCTGCAGCTTAGTAGGTGTTCCATACATATTTGCTGAATAAGTAAACAAAGGTCTAAATGAGTGATCATTAAAAAATGATGAGGAAAAAGATGATGTGGTAGGGTCTGTGTTTGATGGATTTTTTTTAATGAATATTGGTTTAAAGAGGCCTTTCGAGTCATCTAATTCTGTACTATCATGTAGCATATGAGGTAATTAAGGCACAGAGGGTTGAAATAGCTTGCATAAAGTGTTTCACTACAATTCCAAAATCCAGAATCTAGACTCAGGTCTTCTGATTCCAGGTCTGATAGCCCTCTGTTTCTGTCTCTCTCTGTGTGTCTTGCTGTCTGCCCAGGAACTAACCAAGTGTCCAGGAAAAGTTACTAAAAACAAAATCTACTCCCAACCTAGAAAACCTCTCCACAAAAACAGAAGAGAAAGAAAAGTTTTATTATTGACTAACAACAACAACAAGCATTAAACTAGAATGTGATGCATCACAGGCAATAGCTAAATAGATTGCAAAGACAGTAGGGAGTTTATATGAGTCAGAAGGGACTGAAGGCTGTGGGTCTGTTTTGTCGTTGTTTATACAACCCATTATATTCATGAGTTCAAGGTGTTGTTAGGTGCCATGGAGTGCATTTTGAGCTTACAAGAGATCAAGATAAAATTACTGACTTTTATGGCAGGATACCTGAAGAAGTTATGTTAATCTCCTTCCAGAAAACTGGGAGGTAGGGGTGTGATCATCCTTTATGATTATATTTCAAAAGAGATAGCTCTCAGGTCCTTGAGGGAACATTTTAAATTTGCATACATTTTTAAAAGATAAAGATTTCACAATTACAGCTTATCTATAGTGAATTCTGAAGAACAGAGGAACCAGGGGATCTTTTTCCTTTATTTTAAATAACAAAAATAAAAAATAATAACCAGACCCATTACAGCCCAATAGGTTCCAACTCACAGTGACCCCATGTGTTACAGAATAGAAATACTCTATAGGATTTTCTTGCCTGTAATCTTTATGGAAGCAGATTTTCAGGCCTTTCTTTCCCAACCACTAACCTTTAGGTTAATTTTTGTTATAGCTGTAGTTAATTACCATCCAGTCCATTCCAACTCATGGTGACCTCATGTGTGGCAGAGTAGAACTACTCCATAAGATATTTAAGGCTGTGACCTTGTACAACGGGAAAAAGATCCCAGATTCAAACATGTTCTTTAGAGACCCTTTTATTAACCTTCAACAGGACAGAGACAAAACAAACGTAAGCATCTGGATGAGGAAAGCCATCAGCATGCACACAGTACAGACACAAATAGAATCTACTGAATGGTTTTCATTATATATGATGGAGAACAAAGGAAATGATCACAAGATCATGACTGAGAGCAGGTCAGCCTGTCACTGTCCCACATGGGACTATAGAAGGTGCTCTGCTTCAGATACATACGTAATTGCAGGTTTAGAAAGGTTACAGGATTGGTTCTGGGGTTTTGATTACCAGGGTAATCATAATCATGTGACCCTGAGTCATAGCCACCCCAACCTTTACCTTCCATTGAATAATATGATTGGCCATTTTTGGTAAATTCCCAAGCAAGTCTTTGTGTGAATACCTTTCTCCATACATTCAACCACAGTCTTCCTAAGGGCACACTGCCCCTCGTTGGGGTTGCCCCAGACTTGTCTAAACATAGCCACATTGCTGGTTTCATGGTCAGCAGACATTGGGGAAGCAATATAAAGAACTCACTCAAATGGTGTCTGAATTTGTCAGGACTCAAAATGGAGTTAGGGCTCCCACTGTAGATCTCAGCCTTTTACAGACCAAGTGCTTTAGAATTTAAGCTCTAACACAACC